TATTTGCCATCATGCACCAATTTTTATTCAGCAAATGTTGAAAAAATATTAAACATTCTATATTTGTGTTAATGCATTTAGCAAACACTTTTATCCAATGTGACAAACACAGAAGTCAAGCAGAAAAGTGGGTCGGAAAATTTTTGATATTGTGGCTTTTAAAGGACATCTATTGACTTTTTCTTAATGTACCAAACATGTTTATGAAATTCTCTGCACAAAATCCCTCTCGCACAAAGCCATTGGAGCAGTTTTATTCTAAACATCTTTAGTGCCTTCCAGAATGAGCCATTTCAGGGCTCTGTCACTATAAGAAAACGAACTGGAGCTGGCCACACTGCCCCTCCCCCACTCAGGTTGCTATTGACCCTTTGCACGTGACGTCACGCCACTGATGAGACCGCGGCCTTCGCCATGATGGATGGCAAAAAGATCGTTTACACCCATAGAAACTCCAGTGAAGCTAGTCAAAACAAGCCAGTTTGTAGCCTTTTATCGCTTTTATTTAGTTGATTTGACAGTAAAATGGTTTTAGCTTGCTGCGTGGTTGGCTGCACTAAGAGACAAGGATGTAAACTCAACTCATTTTGTTTTTTTAATAACTTCGATGGAGATTGAGGACGGAGATGAACTGCACTGATCAATCAATCAAGCGGACTAGCAGCCCTCAGATTTGCAGCGAACATGTTTTTACCGGGTAAGATTATCGTTCATTTATTTCACGAGGAAGACAGGGACAGGGATAAATGTGATGTGTTTGTTTATACTAGCTATTGATAATCCTGATGGATGGGTATTTCACCAGGGAGGCTGCGCTCCGTCCACTGTAGTGTAGAGCGAGACACTTATTGACAATATTAAAGCTCTGATGTGTGACTACCGTGTGTTAAAATGACGTTATTTATTTATATGAGCGTCGGCGTTCAGAGATCTTCTCATTCCGGTGTGAGAGCAGCAGCTGAACCCGGTAACATCACCAGCAACAGAAGCTGGTAGGGATCCGGACCTTTTAAAAATCAGCTTTGGTGTAAAGTGAACGCTGTTTACAACATAAAGTTATAAATCCAGAGGGGTGAATTTAGGCAAAGTCAGCAACATGTTTACATCGGTGAACAGCTGCAGAGAGAACGTAAGCTAACGTTGGTAAGCTAGTTAACATACCGCTCTCTATGAGCCCCCGCTAGATGCGCTACTTCTTCTGATAACTGAACTGGGCATGAACTAGTTGAAGGAATACTGGAGTTTTGTTTTTGTTTTGATCGCAAAAACAATTTCAGGCTCTACTTTTCCCTTTGTTTAGTAATTGTGTCGCTCACTGTTTACATGCTTTTGCCGTCCACCATGGTGGACCCACGTAATTAGGTGACGTCGGTGCAAAGGGTCAATAAGCTGAGAAAGACCAATATCTGGGAGGGGCTGAGAGTAGAGTTGCTACTCCTGCAGCAGCAGCTCTCTCTTGTGAAACGTATCATGATGAAGTAATAAGACCTCAAGTAGGCTGATTGACTTGTTTTGTGTTGGGGGTGGGGTTAGGTGAACGAAATACTTTGAGTTGAGCAGCTAATGTGTTGATGTGAAAAGGGGGCAGATATGATAAGTTTTTGCTTCTTTCTGCTCCTTTTCATTCATGATTATTTGTGAATATGAATTGTTTTAATTAGTGTTGTGAAAAATAACGTGTTAATTTAGTTAATTAATGTGAAATGTTTAATGCATTAAAAAATTAACGTAATTAATGCAGTTTTAAATTTTTTACGTAATCCGACACTTCAAACTCGTGAGCGGCTCTGAAAGAGGGGGCAGCATTGCGCTACGCTGGTGTCTGACCTGCTGGACATGATTAGAAGAAGCAGAAGCAGCAGCAGCATGGACAATACTGTCCATGGAACGCTGTCTAGATCGGTACAAAGCAGAGCCCAAAATGGATATTGGACACTGTCCATTACAGTGGTGGTTGAAGAGAGAAGAAGCACATTCCAGACTGTCACCTGTTGCATGCAAGTACCTGTCAACCCCTGCAACCACAAAGCCTTGTGACAGATTATTCTCACTCTCAGGTCACATCGTTGGTGCGCTCCAGGCAGCTGCGCCCAGCGCACGGTCCATTCTCAAAGTGGCGCAACCAAAAACCTATAATTAACCCACGATCGTTCATGCCCGCACATATTATCTACCTTCTGTCTTATTTGTGCCTGAAGTGCTCTGCTACTGCGGAGCTCATCACCTGTGCTGCAGTGATTTCACCTAACTGACGCAGCATCAAAACGCGCACTCCGCTTTGCGGTCAGGAGATCCCTTTGATCCCTTTGATGAAGTGAACAAGTAAGAATGCAGGCAGCAGATTTTCTGGAGACTTTAGAAGAGATGCAGGAAGATGAGAGACAGGACAGGAAAATAGTTAAATAAAAACAAGAAAACAAAACAAAGTGTTGAAAAGTTAAATGTAGGTAGATTTATCTCCACTAAATGTTTTGACCTGTATAAAACAATAAGTTATACACATGTAATATTTATGCATTTGATATAATTCAGATCACCTTCAAAACCCTGTCACACACCCAGGGCCGTTTCAAGGCATTCTGGGGGCCAAGGCAAAACAGAACACCCCCCACCCCATGGGCTGCCCAGAAGCCTCTGTGTAGTCAAAACCCTGTCCAGGGGTATTAGTTATATAGTATTTGTAAAAGCCCCTCAGACATTACTGACATCAGATGAAAAACTAAATGATCAGACATGCTGTCTCATCTGCTTCTTTTCTAAACTTGCAAAAAGTAACAAAACCATTTGAAAGCCAAAATTTGTGGATTCTCTGAAAGTTTCCATGGAGTGTGTGACAACTTATTTTTTCACTGAGAAATACAAAGTTAAAAAAAGTGTAAGCAGCCAGGCTACTGATCAGATAAATTGTGATTAATCACAATTACAGAAAATTGTCTTAGTAATTAGTTAATTTTTTAATCAACTGACAGCCCTAGTTTTAATGTAAGTTTTATTTGATTGATTGAATGAAATAATGAAACGAAACGAAAATCCAACCAAATGAAATCTAAACAGAATGAAAACAGAACTTCAGTGCCTTATGGTGTGCCTCTCAATTAGGCAGATTAATGACAGGGAGAAACTCCACCTTGTCTCTACAAGACATGGGTAACACACCCATTATGTGGATGTGTTCCTTGTTTGGCTAAAATGGCCAACTGATCCTAGACAGCTGCCTCATCAATAAGAGAGCTCTGATGAACATCAAGCTCCTTATATATGTATGTATAGCCTCCTTGCTGATGGCCACTAATTGAGAGCAGGTGACAGTGATCATCCTGCCACACATACCTTTCAGGGTAGTTTTACACCAGGTGCCACCAACTACAGTCCTGCTGCTTGATGTCTTTTGTGTTCCACTCAGTCTTGACATTTACTAATTCTTATGAATTAGAGAAGACTGCTAGTTTTTTGTGTTTCCTGCTCCACCACACCTGAATGAAGTAATTTAATCCCCTCCTTAGCATGTTTACCTCTGCACAGACCTGTTAATCATTCATTAATTTCAATCAGGTGTGTAGAAGCAAAGAAACGGCTAACGTGTGCAGGATGGTTGCCCTCGAGGAGGACAGGAGTTTGTGACCCCTGTTATACACCATATCACTGTGACTGTTGCTAGTTTCAAAAACCTGTTACCTGTGAAGCAGAAAACGTGACTTCAGAGTTCAAGGGTCCTTCAGTTAATCCCATCAAGAGAATGCAACACCAATTGTAGCTTTCTGGCATTGTAGTTTCTGGATCCGCTCCAGGTTCTGCACCTGCTGATGACGTCATCATACTACGGTATTACCGCTCGGCCAAAATGTATTGCATCCTTTTTGTAATTCTGTTCTTTCACATAGGTTTTGCAAAGAGTTGATAAGTTTTGTTATTAAATTCATGTTTCTTATGCCTATATGTTTTTGAACGTAGTAGCATGGACATACTTTTTTTTTGGGGGGGGGGGGGGGACATGTCCCCCCCACTTTTTCCAAAGTCAAGTTTTGACCCTTGCACTTTTTACCATCCAAAAACAATATTACGCTATATTAAATTGACAATGGTTGAGCTCTAGGACCAAGCGGAAAACAACCATTTGTGTTGAAGCCTGTTTCCCATTAGAGCATACTGTAAAGATACCCCCCCCCGTGCCCCCCCCCCCCACTTCTAAAGTAAAAATTACGTCCATGCGTAGTATCATAACTTCCGTAAGCCGTATGTCCAGCCAATCATCTAGTGTGATGTCATCAACAGGCGCAGGACCTCGAGCCGACCAGAAGGAAACATGGCGTCTAACATGGCGTCTCTCTAAGACACTAGACCCACGGCCTATGTACTTTAGAACCAATTTTATGGTTATGTTACGAAGACGCCAATATTTTTTTCACTTGGACATAATTTTATTCATTTTCAACAATGTTTTCGATATTTCCGGACATTAAAGTTAAAAATGCACTTTGTCTCTTTAATTACCTTAAAAATAAATAAACCTCTTTGAAAGATCGGAACTATCACTAATTAGTTGCATCACGTTTTTAGCCCTTCAACTCACAACTAGGGCCTGCACGACTATTTTTTTTAAGTCGACAGTCAAGTAATGAAAGTCGAGTCGACTTCGACTAGTCGTTGATGACGTCATACACCGGAAGCGGCGGTTGGTGACCGGAGAGCGCAGGAGCTCCCTTCTTTTGGAGACAAACGCTTGGTCACACCGCGTCATTTTTGATGCTTGGGTGTGAGAATGTGTAGCATAAACGCAGTAGACAGGACAGCTTTAGAACACTTAGACTTTATTGGCAACCCTTATTGCAAATGCTGACAACAATCAGCTTCAAAAACATTCTTGAATGCAGAGCATAAAAGAGAACAAGCAGGCTTATTGTTGCTAATCAGTAACAATAATCATTTAACTCTTGTGTAACATGTAAAATTAAGTCCGCAAAATAAAAACTCCTAAAAAAAAGTCCACAAAAAACTTATGTTTACTCGCTGCCGACAGTCTGTTTGGTCATTTGTTTTTGATCCTGGTTTGCGTGCAAGAAAATTAGTGCATCCACATGATCAGGATGAAGGCTCGCCCGCTGTCGGGTGATCGTATTCCCGGCAAGTGAAAAAATCCTCTCGCTCGGGGTGCTGGTAGCTGGAACAGCCAAATAGCTTTTGCTTAGCTTTGCCAAACGGGGAAATCTATCCTGGTTGCGGGACCACCACTGGAGCGGATTGTCCATGGTGGGAATGTGTGGTGTTGAAAAATAATCCCGGATTTCTTCAGCTGCAGTGGAGCAGTGAGTTGATCTCCTGTCACTTTGATAATGCGGTCCTAAAAGTTGCACAAAGTCTTCCTCGAGTCTGGCTTTTTTCCCAGTCATCGGCTCAATTTGGGCATCAGTTGTGTCCTCGGCTTGAGCTTCACCTAAAATGATAAGTTTAAAATTACCTATGCTGCATGCATCTGAATAATATGAGCGTATTATAGTTCAGTGGACCTACCTGTTGCTGCAGGCGGCTCTCCGTTTTGTAGCAGGACGTCCAGGTGTCTCTGGGCTTCCTCTCTTTTATTCTGCGGGATGAACTGAAGATGTTTGAAGCGAGGGTCTAACATGCAGGCAACTATCGGGATAGATTCGGTCAGATCCTCAGACCTCAGTTTGAAGCGCGTTTCCAGCTGTTGTCGGACCGTGTTTTTGAAAGTGCGTACAGCTGCCAGGTCAGACTCTTCAACACACAGAGTGTTGCTGATCATGTTGAAAATCACAGGATAAATGAAAGAGAGCCCAACGTGCAACTCGCCACACATTATTTCAGTAGCCTTTGCCAGAGGTTGCAGCACAGGAATCAGCTGTTCCACAAGCTCCCACTGGGAGGCTCTCATGGCAAGTGACTTCTGGACGCTTGACTTTGTGACCGCTTCATCTGCAAGTACGGACTGGACCGCGATCCTCTGCTCAAACCCGCTGGAGCATGACAAAAGTGGAATTCCACCGAACAGGACAGTCAGTCTGGAGTTTGTTGGATTTTACGCCAAGCTGTTCCTGACGCTGCTTCAGAGCGCAAGATGCAAGTGAAGAGTGGCGAAAGTGGCTGACAACTCTTCTTGCTGCGTCGACAGCTTTCACCACCTCAGGTAAAACTAATCCAGCTTTAACTGCCAGCTGCAGTGTGTGTCCGGTGCAGCCCAGATCATGTGGAAACATCTCGCATAGCTCCATGGCTAGATTCATGTTACTGGCATTATCGTGGACTGTGCAAAACACCTGTATTCCCCATTCACTGATTATTTTAGACAGCCGATCAGCAATGTTTACAGCCGTGTCCCTCTCTGGCATCATGGTGGTACAGAGCACCCGGGCCTTCAGCTGCCATGAATCGGTAACGTAGTGAGCAGTTACCGTAATATACGGCTCCATGGTGGAAGATGTCCACAGATCAGTTGTTAGCGAAACACTCTGGCCTTTCATTTCTTCACCAATATTTTCACGCAGGTTATCATACTGGTGTGCAATGGCGTTCCACAGTGTGTTGTAGGATGGGACGTTGTAACCTGGTTCGAAAAAATTCAGTAGGTCTCTGAAGCCGTCTCCGTGGACTGCAGCTAATGGTCTGATGTCTTTGACAATAAAATCCACCAACAAATTGGTGATTTGCTGCCGTCGTCTTTCTGTTACAGCTGGACGTTTGGTGAATGCGCTGATTGACTGCTGAACATGCGACTTGGGTTGTCCCTCCTCAGCTAGCATTAGCGGATGCCTTTTCAAATGCATGTGCATAGCACTTGTATTTTTGTTGTATTTTAGAACGGACTTGCAGATTTTACATGTTACAGAATTAGAAGATTCATCTTTAGTGAAGTATTTCCACACAACTGAAACATTTCTGCTAGTTTGCTGCAATGACCCACCCGGCTTGTCACCTGCTGTGTTTTCCGCAGACTCCATTTTGTCATTATCACGTGACAGCAACTAGTCGCTGAAAGGCATAAAAAGTCACTACAGAGCAGTGAAGTCGACTAGTCGACTAGTCGACTAGTTCATACAACCCCTACTCACAACTGGACCCATAATTCTCAAAACCAGAGAAAAACTGATAAATGTACCTATATTATCAACTTTATCTTTGGTTTGAATGCTCTGTGTGGCTCCTGCAACTTTTACAAGTTTTAGATTCATTAGTTTAAATGACACATTATTTAATTGTCTTCTCTAATTCATAAGAATTAGGAAATGTCAAGACTGTGTGGAAGTCAAAAGACATCAAGCTGTCCATTCTGTCTCACACAAAAGCTAAATCACCTCAATAAAACCTGCTCTCTTCTAGTTTGAAGACAGCCTCTATAAATAACTCCCCAGTACTATTACAAGGTTCTGCAGAGAAAATCTGGTGAAGAGTGCCCTCTATATGCAGACCGATGCTCTCGGAAGTGCAGCACACTCATGGAAAGACGCTGAAGGTGATGTCTGCAGCTGTTTTTGCTCAAGAGTTGGTTCAGATTGTGATAGAGAAATAGCTTCCATGCTTCCTGCTTCTAAAGCAGCCGAGGCAATTAACTTTACTGAATGGACTCGGTTGTTCAGAGCACCTGAGGTGAAAGTCTCCCATTCGGTGTGCCTTCTTTAAGCACAGTGTCATCAGAAGTTAAATGGAAGGCAGGCCAGATCAAAGCAGTGCTGCAGATCTTCACTGTCTGACTTTATCTCTGCTCAAGCCCGAGAAACCCTGTCACATCCTCAGATGCTCAAAAACGATTTTCCTTCCGGACTCATTATTCCCTCAAGCGCCGGATGATGCTGCACACACTGGTCACGCTTGTGCAACCCAAATCAAAGCGCTCTGTTTGAAGACTCTGTTGGTTAATAAGTCTATTACAGAGCCATAAAAACTGCAATTAGATGGAAAATCAGGATTTACTATCAAAATCCCCGCTGATCCTCCACAGCCAAGTCATCCAAAGATGTTCCGTCACCTGAAGGCTGTTTCTGAACAACATTCAAAGAACAGCATTCTGCACACTGATCTTTGAATGTTTGAGCTTATGTAAAGCTTGCTTTCACCCACATGCCTTTGTAGAAATAGATAAATTAGACCAGCAACTGTTGCTTTAAACAAAATCTACCAAAGAGCCAAAAAGAATGTGCCAAACTTTGAAGGTCATGTTCTTTCAGAGACAAACACTGTTGTGAAAATACCTGGAATGTCTGAGAAAAGAGGATTTTTTTCATTTTTGTCTCAAGTTTAAACAAAACTAATAAAAACTGACTGAAACATGTCTTACAAAGTTTATACACTGCAAATGTATTAATATGGTGGCAAAGGAGTAAATTGCCCATCCCTTAACCGGAGGGTTGCAGGTTATAGTCCCGTCTGTCACAATCTTTGTTTCTTTGGGCAAAACACTTACTCCTCTTTGCCTGCTGGTGGTCGGAAGGACCAGTGGCGCCTATGCTCAGTAGCCTCACTTCTGTTAGTGCACCCCATGGCAGCTATGGCTGCAATGTAGTGTGTCACCACCAGTGTGTGAATGTGTGTGAATGGGTGAATGTTATATTAAACAAAGACAATTTACCAATTAATAATTTAGCAATTTACATTTCATTATCAAAGGTGTGGTTCACTGACAAAATATTTTTTTATCATTATTTCTGATTATAATCGGTCACCCTGAGTTTTTCATGCAGGCTGAACATGAAAATAGTCTCCTACACCTATCTCCTGCATTAACATTTGATAGAAAATAGACGGTGAAACCCTAGGATTAGAAAATCCTGACAGATCTACATCACACTGTCACTTAATATTCGTGGACTCACCCATTTTGACTCATGATGGGGAAAGCTGTTGTTGGTTTAGCGTCCAGGAAACAGCAGAGAACATCTGGACTAGTAGATGCTAACCATTAGCACTAGCAACTCCACCACACAGCAGAACTCCTTCAGGCTTGTGTTATTTGAGAAGATAAAACATTGATGTTGCTGAGGAAACTGAGTCAGTGGTAGAGTTGTGCTGCTGTTAGCCAATCAGAGGCGAGATGTTCAAATACCAGGAAATAGGACCCTAAATCCTACCGTGTTAAGCTCTCCTTGGATGTGGCATTCTGCTAGTTCCTGAAACTGGTGCATCGGAGCCCCCCCTCCCCCAAGTAGGACACATTCATTCTTACTAGAGACCACTGCAGATAAATTGATTTAACGAGTGTTACACATCTTTAAATTGTGCACAAATAAATAAAAATTGCATAAAAATTAGCAGAACAGCATCACAGGAGCTTTTACATTTTACCGCTTCAAAATGATTGTTTAAAAGAAAAATTCTACGAATTTTGTTTCTGTGTCAAAAAGCGCTGTAAGTAACTTTTCTTCTTGACTTAACCTCTTTTTTAATCACCTCACTACTGATCCAGCACCAACATTTACTAGTCAGCTAGTTTTTAATTCAGAAACACTGATGTTGATTAAAAACATGTATAAAAAGAAATCTTCCAACCAGAACAGACACATTAGCCTTTTCTAGCTCAGACTCTTCCAGCGTTATGCTGCTGTCTGAAGGAGCCGAGTCTTCAGTGAGATCAGGGTGATGCATTTTTAAAGTGAGTTCCTGACACCTGGATGCTGTGAAATCCAGCCTGTAAATGGCAGAACACTTGCAGAGGGAACGAACAGCCAGGTCTTCACTACACAACCTGGCGCTGGAGCAGACAGATGTGCTGATATGCCATTTATAGCCGCAGGCCTTTTTTGACTTCTAAAGGCTTCCGCTGTCAAAACGGAGCACCGGGGAATGCATGACACAAAAGCTAAATGAAGGTTAAATGGAAGCACTTCAAAGTGGGAGATCTCCACAGAAAAATAACGGAGGGAAGGTTAATGTGTGTCTTGTTGAGACACCGGAGCAGCTTGTAGCTTTTGGCCATATTGGTTTGAGGTCCAGTTTGGGTCAGAATGCCTCTGGGCCGCCGTTTATTGGTTCTATACGCACAGTGGCTGTCTGCAGCATGATAACGGGGTTTAGAGCTGATGCTCAGAGACCTGCTCTCTTTCAGGTTAGATTTTCTTCTGCTATTGCTTCAGAGCATATTCTGTGATACCAGGAGCAGGCAGTATTGACTTTGTATGCACTGGATCTGAGCCAGCTGGCAGCATCCACATCTGATATAATGCCTGGACCCTTGGTGGTTGTTGCTTCAGTGAGATGCTGCAGAAAAGCATCTTTTAAACTTTTCATGGGCTCCTGGTTTGTTGCATCAGTTAAAGGTAGTTTTAGACTGAATTACCTAAACAAGACGAGGAAACCAGTACAAATCTAATGTCAAGCAGGACAATACTGATCTAAAAATACCACCACAAAGACATACTTGGTAGTCTGTTGGCAATAAAAGGTTTAGCTTAGCAAATTAATGTTTAAGTTTATGTTCATTTATTTGGCAGACGCTTTCATCTAAAGCGACTTACAATTTATAACCTATAGGGCATGTTGTGATCTGTGGGGGAAACCGGAGTACCCGGAGGAAACCCACGCATGCATGGGGAGAACACGCAACTCCACGCAGAAAGGCCACAACTGAGTTTCAAACCTGCGACCTTCGTGCTGTGAGGCAACAGTGCTAACAACTGCGCCACCATGCAGAAGAGGAACAAGAGCGCAACTCTGAGCAGGGATACCATCGAGCCATATAGGAAAACTCCAGCTCACAGGATTCCCGATCACAAGGTGCATTTAGGAAAAAATGCCAAGTTTATTTAACTCTATCTTGATTTTCTTTGTGTGGTTGTGTGTTGTGGTGCAGTGAAATTAGGTTGGTTAAACAAGCTACAGCCAGAAAAGGTAAGCCATCTGACTGGATGGAGGTTTAATGGCACAACTATACAACGCTGTCTAAAAGGGAGGAGTGTTGGAACGATCCATAAACATCTCCTATGTTTTAGTTAACCTTCTTGGCACCATTGGGACTGTCTGACCCTATCTTTTATTTATTTATCTGAGAAAGAGCAATCCGACAGGTTGAACGGTACACCGAGCGGGGAGAGCAAGTGATGACAGAAAGCAGATTACTGAGTCAAGACAACAACACACAGCATCTTTTCATTTGTCATGCCATCTGGAGTGCTCAAACTGAGGTCTCAGAGAAGAGCATAACTCAAGGAGAGATCAACCAACTTCCTTTATGCCAAGATGTACAAGGTTCATTGGATGTTATGTGCAACTATTTGCTCAGATTTAGGGGTGTGAAGAGACACAGCACGGCCTTTTTGTTGCTGCTTCTACTTGACATTGGTTTAGCGCGCTGACGCCTTTCACAGGCTTCATTGACATGCATGACATGTGAAACACTTTTATGTCCAACAGCAGATCTGTTATTTATGCCAAAAGAGCTTGATTCATTTGATCTCCTCCCCCTGCAGTGCAGCTCATTTTTGCACACATTTATTTTGGTGTTTTGCAAGAAACAGTTTTACTTGTTGCAGTTTTTATGTACATATTCAATAAAAATGTGCTTACTGGACATAATCAAACTGTACAGTTATTGAGTAAACCAATATCCATCCATTCATCCAGTTTCTTAACCTGCATGTCCATGTAGTGTCGCCGGGGGGTGGGGGTGGGGGGGTGGGGGTGGGGGGTGGGGGTGGTGGTGGGGGGGGGGGGTTCGGTGCCTATTTCCTGGGCAATAAGGCGGGGTACACCTTGGACAGAGAGTCAGTCCATGGCAGGGCGAGTGCACCAATAGATAATCCTTATTATCATCTCTGGTAGAAGCCAAAATATCAGCCGTAGCAAAGTCTGCTTCCTTAGTTTTGATTATGTTAGTTAGCATAAACTGCTGAATTTTATAAAGAATGATCAATGTTTATGTTTATGTATTTAGCAGACGCTTTTTTCCAAAGCGCCTTACAAGTGATAATTGGCATGTTGCCTTTGAGGCTAACAATAACAACAGGAACAA